TCTAACTCCTCTTCTTGTCTGGAACTTCTCTGCTTCAAACCTCTGCTTGTTCTGACCGTAACCTTCGTGTTCTCATATATATATATATATATACTCCAATCTCCTTATCAGTTGCCCCTTGATTTCATATCTTCTTAATAATTCCCAAAGTATACCTCTATCTACTTTGTCGAAAGCTGTCTTCAGATCCGCAAAAAGAGAGCATATACTTTCCTCTCCCTACCTTCTGTCTGTTTGCTCTTTTGAATCAGATGATTCAGTACAAATTGTGATGTTATCCATCGTCGACTTGTCTTTCCTGAATCCTGTTTGCGTCTCCGGGATTATGTTTTTCTTCCCTACCTTTTCTTTCAATTTAATTCTTAGAATCTCCGCATCTCATTTGTATGCTGTACATAATAACGATATTCCTCTATAATTTCCTACCGATTCTGTGTCTTCTCTCTTATATAATAGCACAATAATACTTTACCTCCAATCTTCAAGTATCTCTCCTTGTCTCCAAACTTGTCCCAATAATTCTATCATGTTCTTCCATAATGTATTTTCACGCTTTCATCGGGATTCCATTTATATCCACGACCTTTTTGTTCTTCATCTTCTTTAATACTCTCTTAATTTCTTCCTCTTTCAACTCTTTCTATCCTTCTTCTCCATCTCTCCTTGCCTCCATTTTATCCTTTTCCTGTACAGGGTGGGCCATCTAGCGTTTGGAATTTAAACTATCGATTATTTTGAGTTTGAAAGGCGTAATAACATTTATGACGTATCAAAAATTTAGTTTTTTGTTTGACATTTACGAAATGGGTCGCTATACGCTTGAACAAAATTGGGAAATATTGAAAACTTACTTCCAAAGTGGTGAGTCTTCAACCCAAACTGTAAGAAATTTACATGGAAAATTTGGTAGAAAAGAAATGCCTTCAACGCAGTTTGTGGATCAATTTGTGAAGCAAATTCGGCAAACTGAATCTTTATTGGATAAAGCAACACGTTCACGTGCTCGTCCAGTAAGGTCAACTGAAAAACATTGCTGCTGTTGCTCAGAGTGCTTGAACAACCATCAACATCAACTCGCCATTGTTCTCAAAACTTGAACATTTCACGCACTTCTTTGAGAAGAATTTTGAATAAAGATCTCGGTAAATGGCAATGTACTACCTTTTCAAATAAAGCCATAAACTTTGAAAAATATTCATGCGTTTTTTTTTAGAGCCAAATTAAATTCCAAATTTTAAATGGCCCATCCTGTACTTTTGCTCCAATAATAAGTATCTGTAACGAGCAAACGATCCAACTACTATCCACTCGTATCATTATTTTTATTTTCTACGCATATTATTTATACGGCGATGTGTGAATTTCGTCCACTGATCGGCGTAATTTGGCGCTTGATTTGATTTATGTTCGTCGGTTTACATATTGCGATGCGAGTTGACGTGCGAGATAATAGTGTCAGTAGCTGAAGATTGGCTATTGGCTTTATGTAAATAGATCGGAGTTACCGACCGTGCAAGTTGAATAGTAAGACCAAGTTGGACAAGGCAATTATTTCGAATATTTTTCTTCATTGATCTTTTCATATCATGCAGATAGGCCTGCAGTTATTGGCCCTTTATGAATGTATAAATCAGTATGATTAGTAGCTATCCAAATGATAATCTAAAGCCGGTATCAGATGCATTGAGATTGCATGAAGATTGAAAAATCGAAATTTGATCAATTCAAATAAATAAAAGAAACTAAAATTTCTTGTCTTCATTGGTTCAATTTTAATCTTCGATCTCAAGCTTCAATGTGTAGTCTGATTTTGGCCTAATACAGAATTAATAGCTGAGATAATTAGCCATCTATTCGTAATTCGGGGGCTAGTATCACTAATTTACTATCAAGCTAATAGCTTACATCGTATAAATAACAAAAATCAATATAGTAAGGACTGAGAGTAAGGCTGATCACTCAGTTCAGAGACTAGCTACTTTTTTACTGTAAGAACTAGTAGCTTGTACCGTGTAAACCGAGCTTTAGTTACCTCATTCAGGATTCATTCAGGAATTACTCCTGGATAACTCTGGCGTGCACTTTTGCTATAGTATACGTAATGTAAATGATAGTCTAGAATTATCTGTAATTCTCGTAATTCTCTTGAATGTACCTACATAATTTTATATATAACTACTGGCCACACTGATTTGTGCATTCACAAAGGATCAGTAGTGACCTATTTATGTAGTGTGGGCCAGAATTGAATTCTAGAACAAAAATATTTGAAATAACTGGCAAAGCCAATTATTGTCCAACTTGCATGATCAGTAACTCGACTGATTTGTTTGTACAAAGCCAGCAACCGACCCTACTTATCAATTCGTGCTAACTCGCACTGTGTAAAATAGATACAGGGATAATCCTCCTCCTCCCCCCCCCCCAGGATTAATCAGTCGGGTTAATCAGTCGATCAACTAGTCAGGCGACTATGTCAACGCACGAGCTTTTCGGCTGGTCGATCGGTTCCGATCAATTCAAAGGGATTTTCCGCTTTGCGGAATTTGCTCATTGAATTAGATATTCTTCGCCGATGATTATACGAAAGTAGAGTCATGAATAAGCAAGCATTGAAATTACTATAATTTTTGTTAGTCAATATGATAGAGATTCTACAAACTCTAAGATTTATCAACTTTTAAGGGGATCCTAAAGTCGTGTGTGTATTACCGACTAAATCATATAATTTTTGTATAACAATTACTTTTTTCCTCTCTTACTGATTATTTGAGAATGCTTTTCCAGGATTAAATCATTAATATTTACGTATCCATGAAGTGAAGCCTATGCTGAGAAGATAAAAAACAGTTTCTAACTTGAGATCTTTATCATTTCTTAATCCAATATGACGCTCCAGAGCTCACGTGATATTTGTTTCATATAAACGTTGTGCAAACTGTGCATACTTACGAAATAATTGTCCACAGATTAGTAGTTTGCATGAAGAAACAATGCGGAGATCTTAAAATTATATTTAAACGTCCTGCTAGTTAAATGGAACGTCTTATTCCTGTAGAACGTTCTGTTGTAGTAAAGGAATCACCTAGTGGCAGATCTAGAAAAATCCAAAAATAGATCCCAAGAATTACAAATGGACATTTTAAGACTTTGGAATTGGATGTTCTGTATTGGATATAATGTATACGTAGGACATAATGAGGTGCTCATTTGATAGTCCACAACAGGACGTTCTCAGGAGATGTTTAGGATATTTTTAGGCGCTTATTTATTAGGGCTAAGGACATTCAAAAATTTTCATCTTAGTATATTGTTTTAAACATATCTCATATATATCCCAGGATATTCAGTATCATACTGAGGATGTCTTATGCTGTTAGGGGAAATCAATTAAAGAACGTTTGAATTTCTTTTCTATTGTTTTTTCTTGTTGTACTCGATAAATTTATCGTTATGCTGTGCGTTTCCCCAGATTTTCGTTGATTATTTTTGTATAAGAAATTATACTGTAGAAAGAATAACACAGATAAATCGAGCGAAAATGCGATTATTATTTAAATTCTTTATCTATTATTTATGTTGGATTGGTTTATTTGACAATCGCATCTTTTATGCTCAGCCTTTTGCATGACGATTCGTTGGATCGACTTTTAAACAATCGTCAAGAGAATACTTATTCTTTTTAGGCCTTTTTTCACAATATGTGATTACCTTATAAAGATTAAAGGTTACCAAGAGATTCACCAATGATTTATTGCATTTCTTGATAACCTTTAATCTTTAGGTAACCATAGATTGTGAAAATAGGGCCTAGAAGATACGAAATTAGAAATAATATGTAATCATTCTCGTTCTTCGCTTTAAAACGTTTTAACGCTACTAGTTATGTATAATAATAAGAATAATAACTCACAAACATAACATAATTTAGTAGTGATATTATTATAATTTTCATTATTTTACAATAAATATGAATTTTTTCTCTTTTTTTTGCCAATAATTTAATGCAATCAGCGTTAAAAAATTAGAAAATATCGTGAATAAATCTCCTGTTTCAATTAGTTTATAGAATATATAAGAATGATGATATTTATCTTCTTTTTAACACTATAAATATACAAGGTGCGTCACCAAAATCCAGACAAATCGAACAATTTCTTTAAACAAAATGTTTTTAATGAAAAATTAAATATTACAAAAAATCTTTACATGGCACTTGGGGAGGAGGGGGGGGGGGGAATGGGAATCCCTATAGAGCATAATTATTTGATATATCTTCCATTAGCTTGAATCCATTTGGTTGATCTAGGGTATTCAAAGAACCGAATTATTTCCATTGCTGAGCGCCCAGTACGAATGCTTTCGATGATCGCGGCTCTTCGATTATAGTACTCCGCACTTGGTTTCAACATCGCACATTTTGAGAATATAACTTTACTAGAAGCATCAGGTTTTCTCGGATGCCAACAACAACCTCTGGTGGAGGCACAATATAGCGGAATATTTAAATTGAAATTTGTCCGCATTTTGGTGACGCACTCTGTATACAGTATGACTACATGTAAACAAAATTCTAAATACTATAGTAAGTATAAAGTACGATTATTATAGTATTAGATATTAATTAATTGCAAAGCAAAAAAAATAAATACTTAAGTATCACATATAACGTGTGAATAATTTTATTTTATAGCTAAACGTGACAAATAAATGCTTTTGTTATTTAATAAGAGCGCCATTTCTTGAGCTTTATCAAGCGAAAAATTGTGGCAAGAAGCGTAATACGAAATATATATGTATATATATCTATCTGTTGCCGTTATTACATAATATTTGTAACATAACAGAATGAGAGCGTAGTAACTAAGGCGGCGATTACAATACGTGCTTCCTAGTTTCTATACGCTATTGAGAACAAGATTGTGTTCTTGTTAAAAGTTTTACATAAAAACGTCTGATTTTGCAAAAATATCTGATTTTGATTTTTCACATTTTTGCAGTATCATCGTGATCTGAATGCTCAAAAATGGCGTCAAGTTTGCCAAATGTTCATCAAAAGAAGCTTGGACCAGCACCAATAGCATCCTTCGAGGACTTATCCGAGGAAGTGGAAAACGTGAGTCCTACCCTGACTTTTCTTTATTAAATCATCCAATCTGAGATTGATTCTCTCTCTCTCTCTCTCTCTCTCTCTCTCTCTCTCTCTCTCTCTCCTCCCTCCCTCTCATTCTCCTTCTCTCTCGTCATCTTCCCCTCCATCTCTCCCTCCCTCTTCTCTCTTCTCCATCCTCCTCCCTCTCTCCTCTCCCTTCTCTCTTTTCTTCTCCTTTTTCTCTCTTGCTCTCTTTTTATTTCGCTCCCTCCCTCTCTCCTTCCATCACTCTATCTCTCTATTTTTCTTTCTTTCCTTTATGTCGTTCTTTCTTTTTTTCTTTCTATCTCTCTGAAATCCTGAACTTGAATCCCGATGTATGTGTGCGATCTCGAGATTAATCTTCTCGATCGTCCGTGAGTTTTGTGAGTCACTGCGAGAAGCTGGCCCGCGACCTGAGCCCAACAACCAACCAATCAACCCCGTGTGACTGTGCTACGACAAACCAGGAAACGAATTTGAATGCAGGGAGAATCGGCGGCGGCGGCGGCGGCGGCGGCGGCGGCAGCGGCGGTAGCGGCAGGGCGAATGCCGGGTATCGTCGAGGTCACCACGCCGGCAACGCCTGGTAGTTCGCTCAAGACCCCTAGCACGCCACGAATTGATATCAGTAGAGCGAGCAGTTCTTCGCATCATGAGGATAGTAATTCCAGGGATTCGTCACCTGAACGAGAGCTTCTTGCAGGTGATTATTCTTTTGCAAACTACTGTACAAATCGTTTTACTTCCAAGTTTCCAGTTTTTTTATACTTTGCTCAACGACACCAATTGCACTGCGTGACACTTTGGTAATATGATATTCACATAACTTTAAGTAAAATAATAAGTTTGATAAATTTGGAACTTTTTTTGAAATTTAATTTAATCGATTTTGGTAAATGGATAAGTATTTTATGGTAAATGTGAAGTACAGTAAAGATCAAACAATATCAAATTCTTTTGAGATATATCAAATATTATTCAAGAATATAATTTGAACTTTGAAACTGCATTATGAATAATATATATAATCACTATATATATATATATAGAATAGTATAAAAAACATTCAAGCAGAATATTGAGATTGAAATTAATCTATGCATATATTTTGAATATAAATATATTTGAGAAATACGATAATTTCAATACAAAATTAATAATGAATTAATTAACGTTGGCTGATAATTAATGGCAAAACGTACATTAATGATATACAATATAGATTCGGTCAGAATAAGATCTTTTAAATTGTATGGGAATTGAACATTTTTCGTAAGTAATCGGGTTATAGTTTTCGAGTAGTTTGAAAACATTTCAGAAATATATATTTGCACTTTATTTCACTCTCTTAACAACCTATTCTATTATTTTTGTAGATATACGTACATATTAGCTGTCTACTAGTGCAGATACCAAATAGATAGATTCAGTATCGCTAATTTAATATATATTTTTGGAATATTTGAATGCATTTTTATAAACGTAATAGATTACTTTCAGGTATATATATTTTTAATTAATAAAGCGGCGAGTGTTATAAATATTTTTTATTTGAATTTATTCAATCTTGTCATTTTCTATCAATTTTTATTAATTGCGACGTTCAACATAATACACAACAATGATGTAGTAATCGAACACATGTATCCAAGGCGAATTAGCGCGATTAAATTGATAATTTTATTGAGCGGGTACAAGAAGCGAACTTTGTACAGGTTATGCATTTCGAATAATTTCTGAAAAAGATTTCCTTAAGGTCAAGATTTTGATCGATTCAACTAGAAAAATTTATTAGATGTAGTAAAAAGAAATTCATTATTTTTGCATGAAATTGAATGGAAAAATAATGGATTTCTTTTTACTACACCTAATAAATTAAATTGTTTGTTCCTTGTCGATTGTCCATCTCGATTTAATTTAGTATATTTAATTTAGTGGATTTTTGCACTACATACCGTACAAATTATCGTACAAATTATCATTAAAGCCTCTTGTTCATTAAAGCCTCAAATTCCTCATTTGATTATTACTGACACAATCTTCTTATTAATACTTTTGTCTTCCATGGGTATTATCTATACAGAAACTATGAATCTTGACCAATGTTAATGTTAGTTCTTCTCTTTATACATATCTGGTCAAATGTTGCTGTCATTAAAATGTTGCTGCAAATTAAATATATAAAAAAAATAAAGTCTTACCTATATGTGATACATGCAATTAAAATACATGAAATAATGAATATTGACATGTAATTCAAATATAAGCCGGATGAAAAATTCGGGTGGCCGAACGATACACTTATATACTCATACATTTTGTAGGAGGCTCGAGAAGATGTAACATAGACTTGTTAAATTATTCGAACGTTAGGCGATCATACGGATGATTGATGATATCAAATGTAAGAAAGGAGAAATCTTTCATAACATTTACGTAATCATCATTTACGTTCGATTTAATCTACAGACTTTAAAAGTTATTAGAAACTTTTGAAGAACGCCGTTTAGGAATGCAAACTCTAAAGATCCCATGAATTTCTAGGTGCGGATCCTCCGTCCGGTTGCAAGCTGACTCTGGGTTATAAGGAAGACGCTCAAGATCTCAGGTCTTCTACGGAGGAGCTGGATTTACAGGATCCCATCCATGAACAAGATCTCAAACGAGAGTCCAAAAGGCGAAAACGAAAGGAGACCGATGGATCCCAATCGGATTATAGCGGCAAGCAGCTAGGTCAGGACCGTGAACGCAAGGACAGTAATTGCTCGGAGATATGTTTGCTCAACATCAGCGGTAGAACATCTAGATTGTCGTCGGTTGGTAGTCAAGGCTCCGGCGTCTCGGGGAAGCTCTCGGTTATGTCAGCAACTTCCTCCAGGTAAGGAACGCAAAATAATGAAGATG